TTCACATAACGTACGAACCAGGGGTCACCAAATGAAATTAATAGGAAGCACGTATAAAACTAATTTTAAGGAAGTACTACATCACACAATACATAGTCAACCTGTGGAACTTGTTGCCGGGGGATGTTGTGAAAATCAAAAGTGTAACTTAGTTCAAAAAAGAATTAGATAAGTTCATGGAGGATACCTCTGTCGGTGGCTATTAGCCAAGATGGTCAGATGTGCAACCCCATGCTCAGGCTGTCCATAAACATCTGACTGCCAGAAGGTGGGAATGGACAACGGGATGGATCACTTGATCAATTGCCTGTTCTGGTTGTCCCTCTGAACCATCTGGCATCAGTTCCTGTCAAAAACAGGATGCTGGGCTAGATGGACTATTGATCTGAACCAATATGGCCGTTATTATTGTGTCCTTATGTTAATTCTGAATTGCTAACTTTCACGCAATTGTAGCAAAATAGTGATACTAATTATACCAAGTTTAGTTTTTGTTTTTTAAATTTAACATATACCACAAGTGCAAAGAAAAACTTCAAGCCATTATTGCAAAAGGGCAGCTCTTGGCTATAGCAACCGTGCAGGCTTCTCATTCCATTGGTATGGTAGTGGTAGTAATGCACAGGGTATCGTAGCTTCTGGACATCACAGGAAATCGTGATGACTGAACACTGTAGAGGGACCTCCTTTTTGATGTTCTAAAATTATTCAGTGACACCACAGACAATTGGCTGCATACTTTGGAGGACTTCAGGAGGACCCTTCACTCTCTAGGTATATCTATGCCTGCAAATAAAGAGAGGTTTAGTCTATCTCAGACCGCTCCAGAGATCACGCCCTTCTCAATTCTCTGCTTTCCATAGATTCAGTGCCACCTAGAATAAACCCCAGATTTCATAAGGAAAGTTATTTAAGTTAAGTGCCAGTGTGGACACAAGAACAAATGGATATAAATTGGCCATCAGCAAGTTTAGGCTTGAAATTAGGCAAAAGTTTCTAATTCTGAGGAGTGAAGTTCTGGAACAGCCTTCTAAGGGGAGCAGTGGGGGCAAAAAATCGAAGCAAGCTCAGTCTTGAAGCCAATAAGTTTATGGAGGGGATCGTATGATGAGACTGACTACAATGGCATGTAGCTGATCTGCAACTGCTAGCAGCAAATAACTCCAATGGCTGGTGATGGGACACTAGATGGGGAGGGCTCTTATTATTACAGAGAATGTTTTCCTAGGTGTCTGGCTGGTGGGTCTTGTCCATATGCTCAGGGTCTAACTGATTGCCATGTTTGGGGTCGGGAAGGAATTTTCGCCAGGGCAATATTGGCAGACATTCTGGGGTGTGTTTTGCCTTCCTCTCTGCAGCATGAGGAACAAGTCACTTGCAGGTTTAAATTAGTATAAATCGTGGATTCTCCATAACTTGAAGTCTCTAAACCATGATTTGAGGACTTCAGTAACTCAATCAGAGGTTAGGGGTCTATTACAAGAATTGGTGGGTGAGGTTCTGAGGCCTGCAATGTGCAGGAGGTCACACTAGATGATCATGATAGATTCAGAAGGTTGGCAGAGACCATCTGCTACAGCAACCTCAACTCAGTAGCCCAATGATAGCCAAACGTTCTTTTTGACTCGATTGAGGAGCACGAACATGCCGATTCAGGCCTCTTGCTGCATCATGTTACCCTACCCAACTTTCCACCCTTTGGAGATCATCTCCATTTTTCACACCTCATGAGAGCAGAGTATCTTTGACAGATGAGTGTCGAAGTTATAACAACTTTGGGTTACTCCATTCAGTTCCATTCCATTCTCCCTTTCCCTTCACTTTGGAGGGACCCCTCTCATGAACCTTTTCTGAAGCAAGAGGTTCAGTCCCTTCTCTGTTCAGGAGCAGTTCCTACTCAATACAAGGAAAGGGGGCTCTATTCCAAGGACTTCTGTTCCTAAATAGAAGGGTAGATGGAGACTGATTCTAGATCTG